GAGTTGGCTGCCCGTAGCTGATGAGGGCCAACAGCCCGAAATAGCTATACTATGGTGTCCATCTTGCCGGAATACTAAAACATAAGGCCATATGTTGAGAGGTCCGTCAGTAACCAATAAATTCGAATGGAATTAGCAGCTGCAATCATAAGCATAAACTTTTGTGCGTTTTAAAAAAGATTTTCTTACTTAAATTATTACCTGGTGTTTAAGGCCCTAGTAGTGCTTGTTAGACCATGTATTAGCATGTGTATTTTCATAATCGAAAAATAACCGTTTTTGAGAAAACATTTCCTTGCTTACATTCTGTTTCAGCTGACTTGCGTGGGACAAAACTAAGTCTACCAGGTCCAGTTTAGATTACTGTCTTCGCGTACATTTAAACATACACAAATACACCCACGCACGGATGCATAACGTTAGACAAAATATATGTCCAGAACACACTTTATCAACTGTTAGGCCTCGTGTATAAATAAATGTAATTTCTGGGATGTTTTTTTACGAACGAAATGGCTTAAAATAGGATGACCTTAAGGAAACTTGAAAGGTTTCGAGAGCTCAAAATGCATGAGGGCATTATCAAATGATTTTTGTTATGTTTCAACATTTGGCTGGACACTGAATGCGAAGATTACTATATGCGAAGAGTACTATAAAGCTCACAACTTCTTTAGCACCTATTATGAGATGGTGATTTCTTAGGATTGCTTTGCAAACTCTTATTCCAGCGATTGCATCGCTTCTTACAGTTAACGAACTAGCCGTTAGGAAGGAAGCTAAGTTCTCCGCTCCTAAGTTATTGACTCAGTCGTTTCATCCTCTTCTCAAATGTATCTTCTAGTTTTTGTTGAATGTGTTTTTATTCTCTAGTCAGAGATGTAAAGATTATTCCTAACGAGAGGCCCGGGCGAACTCTCAGATCACGCTATCGGTCCGTTTACACTGAAAGGCCGCGCGCCCCGCCTCGAGGTCATACAAGGTGGGCAGGACAAAGGGGCCAGATGGCCAATCGAGTCGCTAGGCGCATGCGGACAAAATCTGATTGGTCCCATCTGTAGCCTTTCTTAACATGTAGTCCCGTTCGAGGGACGACAAAAGACTTCCTTTCCTTTACGACCTTCTAGTTGTTCTCCTTGTTGGACTGACACAAAGAGGCTGGGGGTGGCACAAATTTGCACACTGTCTTCGCCTACATCCAGATCTAAAATTTCTACCCCTTGCAGGATCTCCCTCGTTTTTGTTTTTTTTTCTTGTTTTTCGCTTCTGTCCGCCTCGCTGGGGCGTTTATCTCCCTCATAGCACAGTCTTTTTTGCCCTTACGCCCCCCTTAGTAAATGCATTTTCCTCCAAATACAGGGTGTGTTCAGTGACCTTGAAATACTCTCCGCCCTTTTCGCTTCCGCCATCCACGATGCCAATCATCCCGGCTTGACTAATCAGTATCTGATAAACACGGGTAAGTCTAGCCATTCTTACTTTAAATTCCCTCACCCGACGCACCTTCTTGAACAGGAACCAATAACCCTAGGCTATACCTTACTCGTCCCGTCAGCAGCCACTAAGCGGCTATTTTCAAATTTGAAAAGATCAGAATTCCGAGATAAGAGTAAGAGTTCATCTTCTGTTCACCGGAATAAATTTGTAGATTTGCTGACTTTTCGGACAGTTGGGCCGGCTGTCCGTTGTCGATATGAATACTGACTTTATCGATCAGCAAGTTTAGAGTTGCGGCTGTGCGTGTTTGCCTTGGGCTGATCGATTTTTCTCTGGTCGCTGTTTGGTTATGCGTGTGGATTTAGGCTTGGTGTGACGGCAGCTGGTGTCGTTTCGTCCCCACGGTAGAATATGTTGGTAGTTCTGCTCCGTCTTCCGGTGGTTTCGTCCCAGTGCCGTCTCCGTCTGCAAATAGTGACTTCGATTTGATCGTGTCCTGTCCTTTACTTACGTAATGAGGCAGGATTTTGTAGGACGCAGGGAGGTCCAGATGCCTGTTGACGGAGTTAGCGTCTGAGTATCATGTCTCAAGCGTCAATCTTTCAGCTTTTGAGGCTCCTCGGCCAACGATGGTCGTTCCTTGAATATCGAAGTTGTGGCCAGTCTCTCCGATATGTTTTGCAAGCTGTGAGTGATGGTCTAGTCTCCGGGCAGTCGCCTTGTGTTCCTGTAAACGGGTCTGCAATTTACGCCCTGTTTCTCCAACCTAATAACAGTCTCCACCGTTGCTATTATCCTAGTCAGTTGAAAATTGCCGACAAAGGCAAAGGAGAGGGAAGTGTACACCTCTGGCTCATAAGCCGTTGTCAGCCAGCCGCATCCACAG